TTAAAACATTACGATGTTTACGTTTTGGGTATGAATATGAATCTTGCAGATATAGATTCAAAGAAACCCCAACAATAGATCAACATTACTGAAATAGTTAATAGAGATTTGCGTTATCGAGATCGTCACTCGTGACCAAATAGGTAACGGCACGATTCTGCTATAGATGAGGGTACCCTGATGCGGGTATGAATATGAATCTAGCAGATATAGATTCGAAGAAGCGGAAAAAAGCATTCCAGGAATAGGTAATAGATCTTTGCGTTATCAAGATAGACAACGGTGGCCAAATAGGTACCGACACGATTCTGCCATAGATGAGGGTACCCTGATTAAAATTTCTCGATTCTAGTGATGCATATTTTTTTTTCTTGATCGGACGGTTGATCATAATTTGGCCACGATGACTTGTGACTTCGTACTAGCACAGCTATCGACGGCCCCCGGAGGTTTCCGTCTACCCAATTTCACTCACAAGGCTTGAGTCAAACCATAGTATGGTTTTTTGGCACTTTCCAAAGGTGCTGCACGCTGGGATCGACCCCTTCAGTCCGATAGCATCAGGAAGTTGCCTTCCTAACGAATCAACCATGGCGAGATTCGAACCCGGGTCTCATGGTCAGAACGCGAACGTTCTAACCAGTCGGCCACGTGCCCATGTGAATGAAAGTAAAGATTGTCGTAATAAGATTGACCTTTATAAATATCTATATTGAATACTTAATGTGACAATATTCCATTTATGACAGTCTAAAAAGACTCTTTAATTACCCATAATAGTCCCGCATTTAAATTACGTTCTTTATCAACAAAATAAATCGTTTTTGACAGCATATATTTACTGACGATGGGAAAATTAATTTATTGCTTGAATCTAAAACGGAGGCAATCCTGTCTAGATACAGGAAATCGTTCAACATATCAACTTATTCCGTATGTATTCGAATTCCAGGAAGATGCGACATACTCTTACAATGCGAGACTGACAGTGAGGAATTGGCTCGTTTGAATGACGTATTTAAAGTGAAAAGACTGACAGTGAGGAATTGGCTCGTTTGAATGATGTATTTAAAGTGAAAAGACTGATAGTGAGGAATTGCCTCGTTTGAATGACGTATTGAAAGTGAAATGACGTATTGAAAGTGAAATGATATTGCACATGAGACGCAGCTAGCGATCATGGAAGTAGCATAATAAATTATTCTGCATACGGCTTATTCTCCAGACTTCAACCCTTCAAACTATCGGGTTTTTTTTGTTTTGTTTTTCGCTCTAAGCAAGATTCTTTGTTCCGCTTTTCCTAGAAACAATTGGATGATACCGGAAAATTCTTGAAAGAATTAATCGAATCATAAAAAACACTATTTTATGAGGAAAGACAAAGTTTAGTTGAAAGGTGGATTAATGTGCTAGACAACTGCAAAATACATTGATGACCTCATTTGATACGAATAAAAGATTTTAATTAAAAAGCGAATTGTTGAGAAGTTTTGTACCAACCGAATAACGCCGCAGAGACACAGAATTAGTGGCAGTGACTTTTAAATAGATTTATTTTGAGCATTTTTATTGAGAAAATAGACCGTTAAGTACACCCACTTTCCTTCGAAGTACTATTTTGTTATTACTATCTCTATGGTTTGTAAACAATCTGAGAGGGAATAATACGTTGCTATTTCTTGTCTGAAACGAATTCAACAGATAATCCCAGCAAACAACATTCTTTAAGCCGGCACTTAGAAAAGAATGACCCCATTCTGTGAGTTTTCCACCCATCCCTCAGTTTGTTTTCTCTTGATTTCAATTTAGATTTATTGATGAGAAAAATAGGAAAGGTAATTATTGTAGTCTGTAAACAAAGTGCATCGCGGATATCAGCGCTGGGCAGGGAATTGGCATGACGAATTCGAATTTCGAGCGAGTCCGTTTCCCTCAATTACACACATGCCGCGTGAAAAGGCATGAACCTACAGAATCTCGTCCACTCTCCAGTTAATGGTTAACCTTTAAGGAAGTTTGGGCTGTGTAAACCTTGAGTAGACGCCAGTCAAGAATTTTTAAGCGTAGTACTAAATTGGCATTGTCGAAAGAGCTAGAATTCCCGTAACACTTCCCATTTTCCTGCCAAATACGATCTTCCAAAATTTAAATGTAATGTCAATTGCTATCATCCATTAATCTTTAATCCTTTTTTGTCTTTGTTGTGTTTTTTCCTTCCTAACATTTTTTTTCTTTTTCTTTCTGCCTGAGTAACCACTGCGTCTTAATGACTTTATCGCCTTCCTTGTGATGAAATAAAAATAAGGAATATTCTGAATGTAAAACATTATAGAATCCAATGGGAAATCACTTGACTATCTTTCCCAAGTTTTATGATGTCAAGGAACACTCGTTGCTACCTCGTGATGTCAATGTATACTCGTTGTCACTTTTGTAATGCTCGTTGAAGTAGAGTCTTTGTAGTCGCAGATATAACTATACTAACGCCGTTGAACAATGCTGGTGTCAGACGCCTTCGAATAACACTCTCACTAATAATACTTGCTCGATAATACTCGCTCTAATAGTAAACCGTGTAGTGATCCGAATAGACAAATAGTATAGGGGATAGCGTAGAGAATAGCGGTTCGTATAGTGATAGAGGATAGAGCAGAAATAGTGATCCATAAATAGTAATAGAGAATAGGCTAGAATGGCGATCTAGGTTCAAACTCAAGTGTCGGCAGTGATACTTTATTCCTATAAAAGACGCCATGACTAATCATAGATAATAAAGAAACAAATATGACTGACTACGTCTTTAAAGGATATGGATTTTTTAAAAAAATACAAAAAAAAAACGCCTCATTTTCTTAGGAATATTTACTGTATTAAGAATTATTATTAAGAAATGATTAACAAATGCAGCTTAAAACAAAATATTCCAATATAACACTTTATAAAAAAAAATTCGAGCCAGAATACCAAATAAATATAAGATTATTTAAAATATAGATCTACCCTGTCTCCATCTTTTTGAGCCGTGAGCTAGGTGCATTTTTGGGCAAGTGTTTGTGCATTTGTCGTGTAGGGATGTCTACAAAAATCATATTCATTGGCCTCGTCAAACTCAATTTGATACACAGTTACCTCCGCCACTGCCACCGGGGGTGAAGTGGAGGTAGAAAGGCAGGAAGGATGACGACCCCGATGCTCAGATGCGAGGGGGTGCCGACGATTTAGGATATAACGTTATGTAATATGCTCATTGGCGAGTAAGCACCAGGATTCTGAATGAGGAACATTCAGGCTAAGAAATGTTCAGGACAGATCCCCCACCCCAACAGAAAATTTCTTTCAAAATAATCTTACCGTATCTTTTATAGTACATACCAAAAGTGTACAGTGACGTTCAGTATCTCTTTCTTCCTCCCTGTGTGTGTGAGAGAGAGAGGGTGTATGTGGTTTTGCTGGTATGTGCGTGCATGCGTGTGTTTGTGTGTTGGTTGATTGTTTTTTTATCTCGCTGCATATCTACCTATATGGGCTATTTAATGCTGAAATCTAAATATTTTTACGCAATTTTTATTTATTTTGGTGAGGAGATAATGACACAAATCTTACTAATTAACCGACAGCTAGACTTTTTCACCTATTAAAATGGATAAATGGGACTTATTTCTAATAAATCATTTTTTTTCTATTTTCTATGCATATTTAGTTATTATTCATCTATGTATTGTTAACTCTATGAAAAGTATGTTTAGTCATTAGTTGGAAATAAATTAAATTAAAATTTTATTAGTGTACAAAAATTTGTTTTTCACCCACATTAGAATAAATGACAGTTTTCAAACATTTATTTCCCAAGTCCTCCCAGCCGAGGCCATTGTGTTCGCCTTCGCAAAAATAATTTTAGGAAAGGCATGAATACAGTGAGTGGTCACTCATCTATGTACTCACCAGGATCGACGTTGCTTAACTTCGGTGATCATTAAAGAAACAATTGCTTCAACGTAATATGGCAGCAAGACGTAAGGAATTTAGTTGTGAATAGATGGCAGAACGTGCAAAGAGAGGGATGGTGAAATATTAAACCTTTCTGAGAACAAGTGCTTTCAGGAAGTTGTGGAGAGTCATGTATCTGACGGTTCAAGGCGCATAAAAGAGAAGATCAGGATTTATTATCGTCTGACGTAAACTTAGCAACAGAGGCTGCGCAGAGGACATTTTGCTGATACTAAAATTCAGAAAAATTGAAAAAGAAACACTACAGAATAATATAGTTGAATATTACAAGACTGATGGATTACTATTATTCGTTAAAAGTCTGAAAGAATGGTGGCGAAAAAAGGAACAAACAAATATATAAGAGTAAACACGGGCGGCTCAAAATATAATCAATGCGGAAATACAGCGATTTGCTTGGTTGATTGTTTTGGTTGATTCTGTTTAACGCCATATCAACCTCTATGGGTTATTTAATGCCGAAATCTGAATATTTTGAACGCAATGCCTTTAAACACAGATAAAATATATTGTTGAGCAGTTTGCTATAAATAGGTATTTTTGGTCATTTGCCATAAATAGCTATTGAAAGTTATTTTAATATTTATATTAAAATAACTAACCCCCAAACCAAAGCAAAACACCTTGAAAAGATAAAATACATTTTTTATAGTAAAAATAACGAGAAATACTTATTTATATTTCTCGTTATTTGGCTATAAATAGGTATTATTGCTAATTTTACGATATGTATTGTTAGTAATTTCTTGCAATAAAAATATATTTCTGTTATTTTTACTAGAAAAATGTATTTTATCTTTTCAATGTGTTTAGTTTTGGTTTGGGGGTTCGTTATTTCTCCTTAGCTGGGAGGCAAACAGGTTCGACCACCGCGAGATCAGAGTTGACAAAGGAACAACAGCGAATAAGAGGTGGTTCCACGCTCCTTAACACCTCCAATCACTCAATCAGAGGCTTTGCTGCCAGATGTTTATCGTCATGCCGAGAGCTACAACGATTTGGTCAAATTTATAAGAGAGAGTGAGAGAGACGCGTGTAGTGCAACAATTACCGGTCCTGAAAGGCGGGGTCCGCGAACTGACAACAAATCCCGACATAGTCAGTTGCAGTCTCTTTCTCACCGTTGATTTTGAAAAATTGCACCATTTCTTCTCTTGCCAGCTAATGAAACAACGGAGAACACTGTACTCGTGTGTTACCTTGTTTGGTAACGCGGTCTAACAACCAGAAGAAAAAACTATGTTGCAAACCGTCGAGTAGGCAATAAGAAACGACTCGACATAATTTTCACAAGAACGCTTTTTTCCCCCTAGACCTTCAGAGGGGTGTACCTGAGGATCCAAATGGAACAGACTTTGATTCCTCTTCCCCGTGATCCTTTAATTAGGCTTTCAGATAGCTGGACGGCGCGCATCGCTTCTTCAAGCTCTTGGTCGGCAACCAAAGACCACGGAATTTGCTGTGGTTCGCCCTCTGTACGTACACTAGGCCCTCAGAATATTATTTAATTCAAAGTTGTCCTTCTCCTAGGCTGGACCTTACCCAAGGTTATTGGATCCAGTCTGGGGGCGAAAAGACGTATACATACCTTTTCCCATGAATATTATCATGTAAATGTATGTAATGAACTCAGTATATTATTTATGCGCAAATACACTTTAGAAATGATATCAATCCACCTCTTCTACCTCCCCCTCCCAGATATCTGTTAATTAGCAAAACGTGTAACATTAAACCATTTTTTATCTCTCAAAGAAAAGAAAAAGCTCTTACAACCTAAAAAATTATTTTCTGGCTTTAAATAACCTGCAACGTGTTGATAAGCCGTAGAAAACGAATCAAGAAATCAAGCGAAATTTTTAGATAAATTAAGCGATGATACCCTTTGCACCTCCTGCATTCGGCATGCCCTGTGAGTGTTAAATTTCTCAAGTCTCCTTTCCTCTTTATATATCACAGCAATATCAACTGTCTCTTTCAGACATAAAATACAAGGTGTGATGAGTTTGTTTGAATGTCAATCTTAGGACAGTGCAAAGGATCCAGAAAGAGTTGGATGATATATCCAGTCAATATCATGGTATTCACTAGTGATCACTAGTGATGGAGATGTTATGCCCCACCCATCATCCCGCAGGGCCTCAGCCTGAAATTTTTTCGTGGAAAAATATCTTGAAATAGAAAGACTGAAAAAAAAATGCATCAACCGAAAGTTTCATAAATTAATTTAACTTTTAACTTTTTAATGTTCTTCTCAAGTCTTCAAAATAGGAACAGAATAAACAAGACTGATCGCAAAAGACTTGTTTACTAGAAATACCGACGTATCTCTATTTTTATTTGTAAATTCAATCTTCCTCCATTTTGTTTTTTTTGTGCTTGATTCTATTAACTAAATTTCCAAATTTGAAATCATTTTATTTGCTTTGTATCAAAAGCCACCCGACCACCATCCTTGATTTTGGTTTTCTTTTCGTTTTTTGATTTTATTTTTTCTTTCTTTCTTTTTTTTTTTTAAATCGAAAAAGAGGACGAGTAAAATTATAAACATTAAAGAAATAGCTGCGGTTGTTGTTGCATTGTGGATGGCGACCGATGCGTTGGCAGGAATTGATCAAAAGAATAAAATGCGAAAGTAGGAATTTGAAAGAAAAGAACTGTTTAATTTGAAGAATTTATTTGGTTTTCGGGTATTAAATTTAGGTTTACCATCATTGGATTCTTTCTTAGTTTTTTTTTTTTTTTTGATCATTCTCTGTTTGGTGATGTTTTGTGTGTGTGTGTGTGTGTGTTTAATTTTTTTATTTTTTAGTGACGTTCCATCTTGTAGTCCATTTTATATCTATTCATATCTCGCCTCTTGTTGCTTCATTGTATTTCTTGTTTTCTCTCCTCACACCTTCCTCCCTCACTCTCTCTCTTCCTTTCTTCCTTCCTTTCTCCCACCCTTACTTCAGCATTTCCTTCATTATTTGTAACTTTCGTTTCTTTATTTTATACCGATTCATAGCTCGTTTCATTTTATTTCTTGTTCTCCCTCCTCACATCTTCCTTCCTTGTTTCCCTTCCTTCCTTGTTTCCCTTCCTTCCTTGATTGCTTCTTTCTTTATTTTTTCTAACTTTCGTCTCTTTATTTGATATCATATCTTGCTGCTTTCTGTTTCTTTTTATCTTCTTCTCCCTTTACTTACACTTTCCTCTCGCCTTACTTCATTCCTTCCTTTCTTCCATCATTTCTTCCTTGCTTCTTTACTTTCTTTCTTTCTTTCTCGCTCGATTCATTCCTTTCTTACTCTCTCGCTTCCTTTCTTTCTTTCTTTCTTTCTTTCTTTCCCCCTCGATTCCTTCCTTCCTTTCTTTATTCTTCCCTCGCTTCCTTCTTTTCTTCTTTTCTTTATTTCTTCCTTCCTACCTCGATTCCTTTCTTTCTTTCTTTCTTTCTTTCTTTATTAATCGCTTCCTTCTTTTCTTTCTTTCCTGCTCCCCCACTTCCTTCCTTTACTCTTTCCTTGTTTCATTGCTTTCTTTCTTCCTTCCTCGTTTTTTTCTTACTTTCTTTCTTCCTCCGTCGATGTCTTCATTTCTTTCTTCCTTCCTTGCTTTCTTTCTTTCTTTCTTTCTTTCTTTCTTCCTTCCTTCCTTTCTTTATTCTTCCCTCGCTTCCTTCTTTTCTTCTTTCCTTTATTTCTTCCTTCCTACCTCGATTCCTTCCTTTCTTTCTTCCTCAATAGCTTCCTTCTTTTCCTTCTTTTCTGTACCCTCTCTTCCTTCCTTCCTTCCTTCCTTCCTTCCTTCCTTCCTTCCTTCCTTCCTTCCTTGTAACTTTCATTTCTTTATTCTCTGTGTTTTTCTTTTACTAATCTTCTTTTCTTGTAAAAATAATCGAACAACCGGCAGTCGTTGAAGCGGATAGATCGAGAGGTTAGCTCTTGCCTAGTCTGTATGCAATTAATCATGTCAGCAAGACCCGATCGTCGCGGAAGTCTGATCAGCAAGCCGACGGTTAACTGACAATACTCTTCCTTTTCTTTTATAACTGCGCTTAACCTCCTCACAATCGACCTTCCGCACGGCAACCCTTCCCTCAGTTCCACCCTGATGTCTAAAGCAAAAACCTATATTTAAACCTTTTGTACAGACACTATGAAATTCCCAGGGCGGCCCCAGACAGATTAAAAGACACTTGGTTTGAGTATAAATATCTCCGATGCAACTGAAGGTGATTGAGGTTATCACGAAGTAAACACATTTCTAGCCCCGTAAATACACCAACAGTGCATTCGCGCAGCTTTAAATGAATTAACGCAGACAATCAATGCATATATACCCTTATGCTTTATCTTGAACGCTCGAGTAAGAAAATATTGATATGGAAATATTGATATCTAACAGCTGATTCAAGCTTAATTAATATAAACTAGCAATATCCTCGGAAATTTTACGGTTTTCCTATTTAAATGTTCCATTAATTCTTAAGTGAATAATTGAATAAACTCCATGCAAGTTACAAGGTTATGTAATAGCCGTATAAATGCCTCAATTGCTTTATTAAATATTTGAGCTTGACAACTTTATCAAAATATTGCAATCAGAATCATAGGTATGAATACAAGGCATTATTTAAAGAAGTAAGAAGTTACAAATAAAAAAAATTCAAAATATATATGGTTGTTCATTTTGAGAAAGCAGACGTTAAACTCATAAGAGCGTAGTCGCATCCGCTATTTTCCAATTTTTCTTTCTTTTTTCTTTCTTTCTTTCTTTCTTTCTTTCTTTCTTTCTTGTATTTCTTTCTTTTTTGTCTTGTCTTTCTTCTTGAATTTCTTTGTTTTTTCTTTGCTTATTTTTTCTTTCTTTTTTCTTTCATCCTGAATTTTTCTTCCTGAATTTTTCTTTCTTTCTTTTCTCTTTCTTCCTGAATTTTTCTTTCTTTTTTCTTTCTTTCTGTTGGTCCACCCCTTATTATACAAATGGAGTCACCTAGTGTATACTTATACTACTGCCAGTGAATACCCGAGGAGTCGAGTCCAGAGTGACAGAGTAAACGGTTGTAGGTAACCGGAAGAGTGAGGGGTGAGGTAACTGCGTCGTAGGAGTCACAGTGAACGAGCACGTAGACTCAGTAAGAAGTCATACAGCGATACTTCAATACCAAAGACTGTATAGATATATATTTTGCTACTAACCCGTATTCCTGGAACTACTAACCTGCTTTACTAGTTTGTATTATTACGTTAATACATTATTTTCATATATTCATTCCTGGCGTTTGTTATTTATTGGTACCGGATTTCAACCCAGAATCCACAACACTTTCATTCTTATATTTCTTTCTGTATCTTTTTCTCTTTTTTCGTTCTTTCTCTCTTTCGTTCTTTCTTTCTTTCTTTCTTTCTTTCTTTCTTTCTTTTATCATACAGAGTATTTCAGAAAAAAATTATGACATTTCATAATCTAATAACTTTATATAATCTCCTTCAGATTAATTCAAATTTTAACAGTGTGTGTGGAGACAATTCAAAATTATCTATTTAATGATGTTTTTTTTCTTTTCAGGTATAAAAATGCCGTTGAATGGAAGAAAGGGAATTTCTGTGTTATAGTATGTTCTAATACAATCGAACAAGACAACGCAGCCCATTTGTAATAGAATAGGCTAATAATGCACCAAATGAAATGCAGATTCGGACATGACACAAAATGTTTAAAGAAGAAGGATGCCTGTGAAGTTCAACATGATTTTGGCATGACACAAAATGTCCAAAAAGGAAGTATGTCCGTGCAAGGCAACAGGATCTGCATATGGCACGAAATGATCAAAGAGGAAGGATGCCTTTGCAGAGCAACTGGATCAAGGCATGACACAAAATGTTTTAGGGGGACGTCTGTCTGTGCAGGGCAACCGTATCTAGATATGACACAAAATGATCAAACAGGAAGGATGTCTGTGCAGAGAAACTAGATCTAGGCATGATACAAAATGTTCAAGGAGGATGTCTGTCTATGCAGGGCAACAGTATCTAGAGTTGGAACAAAATTTTCAAAAAGGATGCATGTCTGTTCTAGGCAAGAGGATCTAGTCATGGCAAAATTGTTC